TTACAGCAACCACATAAGAAAGTGCAAATCCAAAATATGATGACCATGGAGCGTCTGTATAAAAACTGATCTCTGCCCATTTGAAAGCCATCCCACTCCCAGATGAAACGAAGTAACCTGGTACCAATTCCAACTCCGCCACTTCAATTGCGTCCCAAAAGATTAATTTAGGGTTTGATTTCTGGATCGTGCTAAAAGCTCCACTGTGAGAATCCGAGTGTACGAACTAGGATGGCGGGTTATCATTGGTACTAGTCGACTCATCGGCCGACTAAAATGCATCCCAGTCGGTTGGCGTTGGTGCCAGCGGGTCACAAGTGGTCCGTCATGCGGGTCGAACCCCACCCGTCCCCCCCCCCACGCGTGCCGGCAAACGGCGACGACGACGACGACGACGACGGCGGCGGCGGCAGAGCGGCAGCGGCAGCGACGACGACGACGACGACGACGACGACGGCGACGGCGACGGAGAAAGCAGCGACGGCGTCGACCAAGACGCTGACAACAACGAAGCTGACGACGACGATCACCACCGCGACGAAGAAAGCGACGACTAGGACGACGGCGGCGGTGGCCACGGCGACGGCAGCGACGGCGTCGACGACGACGCACACAACGACGAGCTGACGACGAACACAACCACAACCGCGAGGACAACCACGAAGACGGCGACGACAACGGCAACGGTAGCAACGGCGTCGACGACGACGCTGGCAACGACGAAGCTGACGACGACGACCACCACCACAACCACGAGGACGACGAAGACAGCGACGTCGTAAAAGGTAACGACGACGACGACGACGACGACGACGACGACGACGACGACGACGACGACGTCGACAACGGCGACAACGGCGACGACGACGACGACGACTCGGGCGGGGCATTGAAGCCAGCGGGCGGGTCGGGCGGGCGGAACATGAAAGTGGGCGGGCGGGCGGGAAATGAAATGAAAAATGCGCTCGTCGAAGGGAGAGCGAGGGGGGGCAGGTGGCAAGACACGAAAGGAAAACCAATGAAATCGGCGACGGCAACGACGTTGACGACGGGGGGGGACATGAAGCGGGTGGGTGGGCAAGACACTAAATTGGAACCTCGCGCGTGGATCGGACGAGGCTGAGGCAAAGTAAAGAAGGAAATACCCAGGGAAACGACAACGATGACGACGGGCGGGTCCTTAAGCGGCAAGGTGGGCGGGACATCAAATGTAAATCTCAATTGGCAACGGGACAAGACTAGGGGAAACAAAACAAAAACACGCCGACGACGCCGACGACGACGGCGACAACAATCGCGACGAAGACGACGACGACGATAGGGAGGCTAAAGCGGGCGGGAAGGCTGGGCAACAAATCAAACTTCGCTCGCTGATGCGGCAAGACTGCATGACAGAAACAAGGAAAGCAAAGGAACACTCGACAGATCGTCCCCCGACGATTTTTCACTGTTTTTGAACATTCCTCCTGTCGAGGGACGTGCCCGACTTGGCGCCAGCGCGTCAGAAGGGGGGGCACCTCCCCGCCCCCGACTTTGACGCGCGGGGGGAGGGGGAGGCTTGAGGGGGAAGGGGGCCCAGCGTGCCGGAGACGCGTGGCCGGCCGGCGGCGGCGGCGGCTCGAGGGCCCACAAGAGAAGATTCCTCCTCCTCCTCCTCCTCCTCCTCCTCCTCCTCCTCCTCCTCCTCCTCCTCCTCCTCCTCCTCCTCCTCCGCCTCCTCCGCCTCCTCCGCCTCCTCCGCCTCCTCCGCCTCCTCCTCCTCCTCCTCCTCCTCCTCCTCCCTCCTCCTCCTCCTCCCTCCTCCTCCTCCTCCTCCTCCTCGCTCCTCCTCCTCCTCCTCCTCCTCCTCCTCCTCCTCCTCCTCCGCTGGCCCAGGGTCTGCGTCGGTCCTGCGGGCTCTGCCTGCACCGCCACCGCACTGCCACGAGGAGAGCGCTGGGCAGGGACGTGCAGAAAAAAGGGCTCCTCTGGCCGCGGCGGGCCGCGCGGCCACGGAGGGGCTCTCCCAGACCACAGACCCGAGGAGCCGCCCGAACACCAAGAGCCCCTCCGGAACCAAAAAAAGGTCATTGTGCCCTCCTCCTCCTCCTCCTCCTCCTCCTCCTCCTCCTCCTCCTCCTCCTCCTCCTCCTCCCTCCTCCTCCTCCTCCCCCCTCCTCCTCCCCTCCCCCTCCTCCTCCCTCCTCCTCCTCCTCCCTCCTCCTCCTCGAACTAGCTACCAAGCCACCCCAACCCAACCCGAAGACCCGCATTTCGCCGGAATTTCGGGTTTGGGGGGGGTACGGGTTCCGTGTGTTTTGTTCAGTGTTCCCCGACCCCCCCCCCCCCACTGGAAATGGAGGGCAAATTGAGGCCTTCGGGTTGGGTTGGGGTGGTTTGATGGGTGGTGAAGGGAGGCCGCGTCCTTCAGCTGCAGAGACGCCTGCGACAGGTTGAGCCGCAGGCTGAGGTGCAGCCTGCCTATCGCGTCGCCGCTGGCGCTGGCCATGCGGGCGAGCGCCTCTTCCAGCGAGGGAGGGGCAGAGGGAGGGGAAGGGGGGAAGGCAGGAGACGACGACGGGGAGGGAGGGGGGAAGCGACGGAGGATGGAGGAGGCGGGAGGGAGGAGGAGGAGGAAGGTGAAAGGTGGAAGGTGGAGGATGTTTTCGTATATGTGTTACGGTCGGCTGACGTTTCGCACGTGTTCCCTCGGTTTCTCCAGAGTTCCAGATGTCTTCTGAGGGCGAGGAAGAGCAGCAGCAACAGGAGGGTTCGCTTGTCCATTTCTGTACCCCTACCCCCCACGATTTCTGAGGGGGAGGGTGGGGTTCATTTCGCTCGACGGCTCCCGAGCGAAGTGAACCCCACCCTCCTCCTCAGAAATCGGGGGGGGTAGGGGTAGGGTTCGCATTTGGCCCCCTGCTGGAACGCGCGAAGGCCGGACTCGGACGGGAGGGACTCGCTCGGGCAGCCTCGGACGAGGAGGCTCGGACACCAGAACGGGAGAGACTCGGACCGGGAAGGGGGCGGGAGAGGGGCCGGCAGGGGGAGGGGCGTGTGGACCAACGGAGGGGGGGAGAGCGGCAGGCTAGCTGCACTCGCGCCACATCTGACATCCGACCTCTCCCCCCGTATCCCTTCCTATTGCGTTTGTGTTTCTCTTTCTCTCTCTCTCTCTCTCTCTCTCTCTATCCGTGGGCGCATGTCATCGCCGACCTGGAACTCCAGCAGAAAGGCCCCATTGTGTCACGCGCCATCGGAGAGGGGGAGCTGTGTGCGAAGGAAGAGGAGGAGGCGGGTGAGCAGGAGGATGGGAGGGAGGAAAAGGGGAAAAGGATGCGGAAGGACGAGGATGGGGACGAGCAGCAGCGGCAGCAGGAACTGGAACGGAAGGGGCGGGAAGAGCAGGAGGGCCAGGGGAAGGCGGAGGGAAAACGATGGGGGCGACAGCGATGAACAAGAAGGACTTGGATCCAGAAAGGTGGCCCACACTGGGACGAGAGCGCCTGGTTGAAACACCGAGAACAATCGGATGAAGAAAGATGGGAAGGACCACCGTTGCCAATTCTGTGTAAAAAACCGTACGCTGAGAGAATCGGCCGTCTTCTGGACGATGTCAGGGTAGAGAGGCGAGTGGCATTCAGAATGTGTAGTTAATTGTAAGATGGAAAGGCCTGAGGTCGCGGACGGGGGGCAGGGGGAGGGAAGGGTGGAGGATGAACCGTGGGGACGTGGGAAGGGGGGGAGGCAGGGGGGGCGGGAAGCAATATGGGTCTGGTAGTGGTTTTGGTTCCGGTTCCGGTTCTGGTTCTGGCTCCGGTTCCGGATTTGGTTCTGGTTCCAGTTCCGGTTTCGGTTTCGGTTATGGTTCTGGTTCCGGTTCTGGTTTCGGTTCCAGTTCTGGTTCCGGTTCTGGTTCCGGTTCCCTTCTTCTCCTGGGGTTCGAAGAAGAAAGCCCCCCTGGTCACGATTCCGGTTCTGGTTTCAGTTCCGGTTTCCTCCTTCCAGGCTTGAAGAAAACCTTCAGGTTCTGGTTTAGGTTCCGGTTCTGGTTCTGGTTCCGGTTTCCTTCTTCGGGATTTTGAAAAGCACCCTCCAGGTCACGGTTCCAAATCTGGTTCTGGCTCCACTTCCGGTTCCAATTTCCATTCTCTTCGGATCTCGCCCCAAAAAGGACCCGCATGATCACGGTTCTGGTTCTGGTTATGGTTATGGTTCCGGTTTCCGTCTTCTTCTTCTTTGAAACAAAGCCACCCTGGTCACTGTTCCAGTTCTCGTTCCAGTTCCAGTTCCGGTTTCCTTTTTCTTCTGGCCTTAAAGACGGCCCCCCTGGTCACTGTTCCGGTTCTCGTTCCGGTTCCAGTTCCGGTTTCCTTCTTCTTCTGGCCTCGAAGGAGGCCCTGGTGGTCACGGTTCCGGTTCTGGTTCCGGTTCCGGTTCCCGTTTCCTTCTTCTTCTGGTCTCGAAGAAGGCCCCCCTGGTCACGGTTCTGGTCCCGGTTCCGGTTTCCTTCTTCTGGCCTCGAAGAAGGCCCCCCTGGTTACGGCTCCGGTTCTGGTTCCGGTTCGAGTTCCAGTTTCTTTCAACTTCTGTCTACAGGGCCCTGGTCACGGTTCTGGTTTTGGTTCCGGTTCCTGTTCCGGCTTCTTGTTTTTCTTGGCCTCGAAGAAGAAGGCCCCCCGGTCACGGTTCGGGTTTGGGTCCCTTCTCCTCCTTCGAAGAAGACCCCCGTGGTCACGGTTCTGGTTCCGGTTCTTGTTTTGGTTCCGGTTTCCAGAAGAGTCCCCTAGGTCACGGTTCTGGTTTTGGTTCCGGTTTCGGTCCCGGTTTCTTTCTGTTGGTCTCTTCCAAGACACACCTGGTCACGGTTCAGGTTTTGGCTCCGTTCTCCCTTTTCCCTTGGAGCCGACGTTGATGGCGATGATGACGATGACGATGACGACGACGATGATGGCGATGATGATGGTGAGGGTGCTGATGACGATGATGGTGATGATGCTGATGATGATGATGGTGATGATGATGCTGATGATGATGATGATGATGATGATGATGATGATGATGATGATGATGATGATGATGATGATGATGATGATGATTATGATGATGATGAAACTGTTTTTGATGATGATCATTGCGAGTTTGCGGGGGCAAACATGAAATGAGGACGACGAGGACGAGCACGACAAGGGCGAGGACGACGGGCATGGGGCAGGAGAAAGCGCTCGGGAGGAACATCAGGAGGTGGGGGGGTGCAACTTCGAGGAGGAAGAAGTGGGGTAGCAGGAGGGGGGCGACACCACGGGAGGGGGGCAAGAGAAGACGGAGAGGAGGCGGATTTGGAGGAGCAGGAGGAGGAGGTGAGCAAAGCAAACAGGCGGGAGGTGGTGGAGGAGACGGGAAGGCTTGACACGAAGCCTTAATGAGAAGAATTAAGATGGGGGGCTGGCATAGATCATGAAGAGGAAAATTGATGATGAGGAGTGTTACCATCAAGAGGAGGAGCGGTGCATCAAGTCACCACAACGATCGCGATCTGAGGGGGTGGAATGCATCAGGACACATGGAGGGATGCACGGACCAGCAACATGGGGGGAGGAGAGATGTACACGGATGCCAGTGACTGTTTTCGGCGGTCCGATAGGCGGGGCGCAGAGTGGCAGCAGCATCAACAAAATGGTAGGGATGGGGAAAATTGAACGTGATGCATATGCTGCTGTTGATCGTGAGAATGATAGCGATGCTGATGGCGATGTTGATGGGGATGATAAACATCAGGAAAGCCGCCCCAGGACCCAGAAAGGGACCAGTCATGGTCCTGGCTGCGGGGCGGCAACATGTTTCGGACTCCACATCATGCCGCCCCAGGACCAGGACTAGAGGCCTCCTAGATGGGGTCCGAGTAGATGGGGTCGGAGGATCGCGCCGCATCGCCGATACATCGGCGAAGCATCGCCGATACATCGGCGGTGCATCGGCGATGCGATGGCGGCGTCGGCGATGCATCGGCGACGTCGGCGTGGAGAAAATCAGCCCCACATCGAGCCGCATCGCCGATGCATCGCCGATTTATCACCGATGCATCGGCGATGCGGCGCGATCCTCCGACCCCATCTGCTCCGACCCCATCTAGGAGGCCTAGAAGGACTGCGACTCGTCACGGTCCTGGCCCCTGGGCGGCATTACTATTCCGATTCCAATTACTGCCGTCCCGAGAGCAGGACCGCGACACGTCACGGTCCTGGTCTCGGGGCGGCATCATCACTCCGGACCCTACTGCCGCCCCGGGATCAGGACCGCGACAGGTTCTTGGTTCCGGGGCGGCATTATCATTATTCCGAACACTATTAATGCTGCCCCGGGAGTAGGACCGCGATTGGTCACGGTCCTGGTCTCGGGTCGGCATATGATTCCGACTTCAAATGTTGCTGCCCCGAGCGGCATTATTATTCCGAACCATGAGAATGCCGCTTCAAAACCAAGACTGCGACTGGTCACGGTCCTGGTCACGGGGCGGCATGATTATTCCGAACCCTAGTAGTGCCTTCCTGGGACCAGGACCGTCACTGGTCACGGTCCTGTTCACGGGGCAGACCTATTATTCCGAATCCTCATAAGGCCACCCGCGACTAGGACCGCGACCAGTCGCAGTCCTGGCTGTGGCCCTGGGAACCAGGAATATTCCGAACCCGAATGATGCCGCCCTGGGACCAGGACCGCGACTGGGCACGGTCCTGGACTCCAAATATTGCCGCCCCAGGCGCAGGACCACGACAGGTATCGGCGACCCGCTATTATTCCGAACCCTACCTGGGACCAGGACCGCGACTGGTCACGGACGGTCCTGGCAACAGGGCGGCACTATTATTCCGAACCCAAAATGCCGCCCGGGTGGTCTGGTGGTCTGGTGGTAGACGTCCGTTGGTCTGGTGCTCTGGTGCTCTGGTGGTCTAGACGCCTGGTGGTCTGGTGGTCTACACGTCTGGTGGTCTACACGTGCGCTGGTCTGGTGCTCTGGTGGTCTGGTGGTCTAGACGTCTGGTGGTCTGGTGGTCTACACGTCTGGTGGTCTGTTGGTCTGGTGGTCTAAACGCGCGCTGGTCTGGTGGTCTGGTGGTCGCGCGGTTTGGTGTACCCTGCATCCCTCGTGATAGACGTGCGCTTGTGTGGTGCAGCACCCTCTGCTAGGCAAGGCCCCATCCCCCAAGCTGATTGTTGTTTACAACAACAAAAATCCCCGGTGCTAGACGCGCCCCTGCGTGGTGCAGCGCCCTCTGATAGATGCCCCCGTGTGGTGCAGCACCTTCTGCCAGGAAGAGCCCCTCCCCAAGCTGAACACAAAAAAACGCATTATTGGTGTTATACGTGCCCCTGTGTGGTGCAGCACCCTATGCCAGGCAAGGCCCCTCCCCAAGCTGAATTTCACAAACATCCTTGGCGTCAGACGTCCCCCTGCGTGGTGCAGCACCCTCTGCTAGTCAAGGCCCCTCTCCAAGCGGATGAAACATGCGTCCTTTGTGT